ATCACAATCCTGTCTCTGTGTGCAAGCTCTGAGAGAAGCGAGACAGTCTGGTTTGCAGTCAGGCAGTCCAGCCCTGTTGTTGGTTCATCAAGTAGCATGACCTCTGTGAAATGACAAGGAATAGGATTAAAACTCAGGTAAATGGGGAGCAAGTGTTATAGCTTCTGCCTTTGAAGCTAATTTGGTAAATAGTATAGAAATTATTTTACATGTAAGGTTCCATGTGTAAAGCAGAGTAGGCATAGATATTGCCATGACGTGACCTTTCAGTTTTCGTTAGCCACAGGGGTTCAGTTTCAGTGACTAGGAAAACAGACATTAAAAACTACTGCAGGGTCAGAGCATAATAATTTTTTTCTAGATTCAGGTGAAATCTGAAAATTACCAAACTATTTGATAGGTATACATCAGCTTCTAAGAACAATAATGATAAATTTCAGCATGTATACAAAAGTAAATATAACTGAGAAGAAAATTAACCTATCCTAGCAAAAGCCAGGACACATAATTAGCTAGAACTTGTAATCTGAATTAAATCCATATATTCACACAGAATTTGTTATGAATAAATTATGTTAAAATTTAGCATATATAATTCCATAGATGAGAGAGGTAGGGGGGGTTCTTTACTGCATTTTCTTTGTGGTTTATTGCACATGGAAGGGTAAAAGTTACCGTCAAATCCATTATTTTTACATAGATGCGACACAGCACAGAAGAGGGCAGGTCAACCTTTATCAGCATGAGCAGACCTTTCTCTACAGGTTTATCTACACAGAACTACTATAGTGTTTACTATAGAGTTTAGTGAACTTCCTGAGCAATAACTACCCCCAGTGAACACTTCAGGAGTCACCAGTAGGACACAATACCTGTGATACACCTCACTTTGCTATTTAAATGTTCTTTCCTGCCTGGTATGCAGTCCTAGCAAATCTGCACGGCTACAAGGACTCCAGAACCCAATAAATGCATGCTATACATTTGCTACATAAGATTCTGGCACCTCTAAGAAACTATCTCGAAACTGACAAAATGTACAGTGCTGTTTCCCATGGCTAATCTTTCCAGTTACTCTGCTTTGACTTTCATTCATCAGATTTTTTTTCTTTACAGTAAATCTACAAGCACATGTGTGGTACCACCAATGTGGTATTCATCAACATCTGGTTTCTTATCAAGGGCAATGCAACATGAGGGCTATTATACTCCTGAGCATTTACTCTGTTTTGTTTATATCTTTTCTAAATGACCAAATCTCATGTGCTGCCTGCCTTTTTGGCTCTGGAATGGACATGGTGCTCACACATAAATGGCTCAATGGCAGCTACTCCACTATAAGGCTCAAAGCTTGCATATATATGGCTCTGATGTGCTCAAAAACCTATAAATTCATGTGCCACAACTAACATTTCATACACAGGAAGGCCGAGCCCAGAAAGACTTAAAATGGATAAATGCAAGTCTAAACCTATATTCAGTCCCTAAGATTTAAAAATTTCCCGCTTTCCAAGATCAACTAATAGATTAATGGCAGCCCTGAGTTACTATTCATCCTTTTCTGTCATTACTAGACTAGCTTTTGCTGAATTACAGAATGTAAATGCTTTTGTAGTTTGAAGTGGTTAATGGGGGTCCATGGTGGGAGCACAAAGTGACACTGCTTTGTTTTATTTTGAAGATCCACACAGTGGTACTTACTGGGATCTTGTAATAGCTGGGCTGCAATTGAAACACGCCGCCTCTCACCCCCAGAAATTCCTACAAAAATACGGCTTCCAATTATTTTGTCAGCAATGTGGCTGAGACTCAGCTCAGCCATAACCGCATCTACCTGAAATATAATTACAATTTAGAAAGACCAAACACAGAGTCCAACTCAGATACCTGTGTGCAAAATGAAAAAATGAAAGAAAAAAAAAGACATAGTTTTAAGCTATGGCTTTCCCAATATGCTGCTTGCATCCATTCAACTTGGAAGGTATCTGGCCTAATTTCTATTTGATTAATTTTAATATATTATTTCAATTATTATTTTCCAAATTTTATTTTCATTTATTCTGAAATTAGTAGAATTTTAGCTTCAGTTAATATTAAGAGATGAAGAGTTCAGAGGTGAGACGAGAAGTTAACGTATGAAGTATAATGTACTGGTCTGGCTTTCAAAATAAGGGAGCAGAAAGGCACATAAATTCTGAGGAAGTATAAAACACTGAGTCAAAGGTAGGTGAAGAGAGAAGACAGAGAGTGAGAACCTGTGGTCAGGAATATCTAATCTTTACTTTCAACAGAGACCAAAAAGAGTCCTTTAATAGATCTGAAAACACACTCATTTTATCAAAATTAGCTTGTAGGGGACTTATTAGACCAGTGCTTTTCAGAGCTGTTCTGTTTAGTGAGAAACATCCTACAGGAGCCAAAGTCACCTCTGCTGTCCATGAGACTTGCCAGCAGACATGGCCCTAAACACCCCAGAGAACTGGGTTTCCCAGCTGGGGAAGGGAAGCTGACCTCGACACCAAGAGCAGTATCTCCTGCAGGTTTCGGCAGGAGAGCTTTGTTCCAGCATAATGGTGATTCCCTGAGGGGTCAGGACAAGCCCCTTGCAGAGGTGGGGAGCACCAGAGAGCTTGTGTCCTACTCCTCAGCAGGAGGATCTCTCCCCATTTGCAGAATGAGGATTACAAAACCTTATAAACATAAAACACAGCCATGGATGGAAAGTGCTGCTGGTGAAAGCATTACATGACATCATGTCTGCCTTTCTGGTGGAAGAAGATAAAATACAGACCTTCTTTTTGATGAAGTCGTTGGAGCATTTCTGAAGAGTTAGTAAAGCAGTGTAGGTCAGAGACTCTTGTATGGTGAGGAAGCTTAATAAAGTGTCACTCTGGAAAAAAAAAAGATTAAGAGGAAGCAGTTAGTCCTGTAGTAATTAAGATCTTGCCCCTGCTTGCACAACTTTAATTCATTCATAAACTTTATTAACCAATTTGTACCAAATTTACTTGTCAAATCACAGTCAGATTACATTACTCCATTACACTAGCAACTTTACTTTACATGAGAGGAAGCACAAAAATAAACATAGAAATCAACCTGTGGCACATAAGAGAAGCAATCTCTAAACTGTTCCTTCTTCAGCTGACGGCCATTCACATACACTTCACCAAAGAAGTTGTCTTTATGTCCCAGTCTTCCTGATATTGCATCCAGAAGTGTTGTTTTCCCAGATCCTTTTCAACAAAAGAAATTAATCATGTGATGAGATTAATTTTATGAATTCAAGAGTGGTAGCCTTGCTTGCTGGAGATGTATGAAAAGAAGAAAGTGGGGTTCTTTTTCTCAATAGCATTAAAATAACAGGTTCTGAAAATGCAGCTAGTTAAATGGAAGTAAATGGGAAACCCAGAATGTGTGTAAATTAGCACTTAACTCATACAAATTCACACTTCATAGTGAAACATTTTGGTTTAGAAGTTACCTTATCTTCTATTGCAGTTGTTATTGTTAGTTAGATGACAGAAGACTGAACTCTGAAAACCAAGCATCACATTTTTACAAAGTAGGGGTTAAAACCAGCTGCAATTTCATTATTTAAAACACAGACCTCACATTCATACCAGCGTGGAAGTCACTGGTATTAAGATCTTATTTCTTTTAAAGTCCTGGAACAACTTACCAGAATTTCCTAAAATCCCCATAATCTGTCCACTCTCTATATGAAATGACACATCCTTAAGTATTTGCCGGGTCCATTTTTTACGATACAAAGAAACATTCCACCATGGGCCAACGCGCTCTCTTGGAAAACAAACATTAACAAAACAAAATACAGAAGATTTCAAAATTTTGCATAAAGCCAATGAGTAGTTTGTAGCTAGTTGCCTATGGGATGGGAGCCTGCAAGGATTTTAAAGTTTTAAACTTTCCCCCCTCCCCCCCTAGGCTTTAACTTTTTAACTTAAGTTCAGCATTACCTGGAAGATCAAATGAAGTCTAAACAGATTTTTCAGAATGACTGCTAGGAGGCTTTCGGACAACAACCAAAGGGGGAAACTTAAACTAAGGCTTTATTTGTTGACAGTGTTTGACAGCCATTAGTCCACCCGGCCATTTTCTTAGAGCCTCATGTTACCCTTCTGGCAGCAGTAAGAAGGGCAGTGGGAAAGGGCACTGTCGCTGGAAATCTCCTCTAAAGCATCTCTCTCCTTCAGAGACGTGTGAAGAAGAACTGGTGAACACTCCAGAGGACAGACTGGCTCTGCCTCCCTCAAGCCATGTTCTCTACCCCTATGAGAGGTGGCCCAGCACCTGAGTGGGGGGCCTGGCAACATCCCTCCTTCTTTACTGGGCTGAAGCCAAACCCTCGCTGGTCCCAGGGGTCGGAGCAGCTCCTGGTGGGCAGAGGCTTGCCATGACACCTTCCCAGCCTACCTGACGGTGTAGGAGATGCCCCGAACACTGACACTGTCAGAGGGCTGTGCCACGGCCTTCTCCTCGCCTGTCTGCCCGCCGCTGCCACTCCTCTCCAGGGCTGGAGACCCTCTGCCCGGCATCCTCCAGTGCCAGGGCCCCGCAGGCTCCCTCCCTCACGCTGCTGGC